GGCTGGATAGATGCCTGGATGCCAAACCATAGATGTGACATCGCAGAGCCAGATCGGTTGATGCAAGAAGCCTGAAAACCCGATGTAAACCCTGAATGGAGCTGTGGACGAACGAGCACAACCCTACCATAGACTATCGACCGGCCTAAACATTGTGGCTGAACAATGAGCACTGGTATCAGCGCCAGCTTTCAGCTGTTTAAATTTCGGTGTAATGCTGTGGCTCTCCAGGTACGACGCCATATGAGAGCTACCAGGAGCTGCCCGAAAAACCTTAGTAGAAGTGATCGTGAATAACCTTGTGATATTCCAGCAATCCCACGGTAATAACGCCAGCCTTAAGATGGCAAGGTCTTGTTGTTAGAAATTAATGAAAACATGTTTATCGTCCGTGCTCTGTGAAGCAATGAGGACGCTTTTCAACTAATGACGAAACATCGTTTTTCCCAGATCGACCGATGGACTTTTCTGTTTGTTTACTTTTGTCCTTTTCAATGACAAGCTTAGCCTAGAGTGTTACAATACTTCGGTATCCATGATGTTCTTTTGGAATGACTGCATCAAATATGACCGCGTCCAGCTAATTCCATGATACCAACCAGGATTTTGCCAGCACAAAAATGCATACCGATTATATTTTGATTTCCTATCTTCCGTCGGCCTTCCTCCCATCCAGAAAGACATTCTTGTGGTCCAATCGGACTCGATTTCCTACCTCAAATAAATTAAGTAGGGGAAACTTTTCCACAGTTTAAGTTTAAGCAGTTCAGCGGACCTGTTTAAAGGGTTTGTAGCGTTGGGTTATCCACACAGTTTGTTTTTACTTTGGAAGATTTCATTTACTCGAGCTCAGCAGACTTCAGGAGCAGTTGAGTATCGTAGAGTAGTTGGTCTTGCAAGTAGCGAGCGTCTCTGCAGATTTGTCGGGCCTTTGACCAGTCCACTTGTCTTGCATGAGCTATGAGTTCCTGGTTTCATTACACGACGGTAACCAGTGTTTGGTTTCTTGGTTTCTTTACTTCGTTTTATCCATCAAACCTTCTTCAGATGTCACAAACCTTTTGTGAGGTCAAGTTTTGAGTTTCGAAATTCCTATTCAGTGGCTGTGTTTGAGAGTTGTTACTTTACAAAACTTACATTCCTTTGCCAAGTAGTAAAAAAGGCAGTGCCATTTTTGTCGAAATAATCATTTTATTCCACTCAATTTAGCTGAATTATTTTAAGTGCAGCCTCCAATGTGTGATTTCATTGCAGTCTATCGACCTCTGCAATATTTCTTCGGAGAATCTGTAGGATAGCACCGTCAAGACAGTCGTACTGAGTTCCCAGCTTGCTTGGGCGAGGAACAGTTAGTTTAAAAATAGATAACGTTATGCAAATTAGGACTGGTTGAATGAAGTGGCTCCAGTTGAATGCCGAAGCTGGTATTCTAATATATGAGTACATATATAATTACTATCTATTAGTACATTATTGTTATATATTATTATATATATTATATTATATTTTATCATATCACGTTAATTATAGTATTGTTATTCTACATTGTTATATATGTTATGCATTAGTATATGTTGTTAGTATATTAGTATGATATATCTGTATATTACTGTTGTTTTCAAAAAGCTGGAATCAGCACGTTGGGATCCTGGGCGAAGATTTTTATTATGCGGGACAAATGGGATTGTTATCACGTGAAGTTTTAGCTTCCTTATTGTAGAACTGATACTCCTATCCTATACAAAGATTTAGCGTGTTTGCACTAATTTTCCTCTCAGTGGTTAGTTGTCACGTTCATTCGTCCAGTTTCAGAGTTTAAGCAATGGGCGATTGACTACACCGATCTGGAAGTATACTGGCAGCTGCTACTGATCATTAGTCCCAAAGAAAACAAGCAGACATTTTCGAGAAATACACTCATGTGCAAATCAATTTGGTTTTCACGGGAGACTCAATTAAATCTCTCGTTTATGATGTCCTCCAGCTGCATGTGCTGCACACAGACAGCCCCATGATTCAGTTGGCTCGATATTCGAGATATCGCAGTATATTTTCATAAAGGAAACTACTCGCAAGTTGCTGAGTAGTTTCCTTTGTGAAAGCAGACATTTTGCTCAGGACAGTGTCTGACGAAGCTATTGATATTCGCAGTTGATGCATATGGCACGTATGCACAATGCATCCATTCTGTTGAACAGCCCGTCTTATTTAGGATGTTTGTGGACTAGATTGCGCAATTCCATATTTTCACTTACATGCCGGAAATCGTTCCACATTACTAGGGTACCTCAAAATGTGACTGTTTTGTGGGCAATATCTTTTCTTTGCAGTTAGATGGTGAAAGGTCATTCAAAGATCATCTGAAGAGATACTCAGTAAAATGTGTAGGTTAGACTGACAAGCTGGTCACATACCTAGTCAATCTTGAATTGTTTATTCGGCACACGGGTTTTTTATGTACACATTGGTTCTCACGCAAAACCTGACACGTATGAAGCTAAAAGCTTAAAATCGTTAGGATATTTACGAGAGTATAGGGAAATTCTTGTGAGCAAAGAATTTGCGGATCGAGGGTTTGAAACATAAACTGACGGTCTTGGAGTCTATAGGTTCCTCTTGTAGAAATAGGTCAAAGCATCTCACATTGTAATCCACAGCATGTATCTTTTCAGAAATCTAGAGTAGAAAAGGAAAAACTAGTATCTACGAACCTTTCTCAGAAATAATGCTTCAAGAGCCCGTGTGTTTTGTGAACTGTTGAAACGAATTAAACTGTTTGAGAGATTGAATCAGTGCTCATATAACACATCGATAAGTACAGCACAGAAAACCTACTAGCTTTCAATATAACGTGCAAATCACAGGTGAAAAAAATGTCGTCCTACGTGCACTCTCAGAATAAACTCGGGCACATCTAGTTGTTGTCTTGAAATTAATTCTTATCGATTGTACATTGCAAAAGCCCAAGTGCTTTAATGGCCACTCAGGGAATGTCACGTTATATGCATAGCAAACCCGGAAACACTGGGACTTTTGTGCTCACTGTCCTCATACTAGATTGTGCACGCAGTTGCTTCCGGATAATATTTTATGGCTTCCAGGTGGGCAATGGATATAAACGGAGAAGACATCACAGTAACTAAGCATTTTTATGTTTTATGTTAGCTAGTTTAAAGTAATTTTTATTCGGGTTGCATGATGCTCATTTGTTCAGTCCGGATGCATCCAGAAACAGCTTAATTTGTGCCTAGGGACAAAATAATTCGGCGTTAAATTCGAAACCAGTTATCCTACAAACAAGCCAGGCTACTTTGGCCAATAAACGAGTAGTCGGTGTAAATACCATTGAAAGCACGGGGCTTCATTTTAGAACTTAACTGACCAAACCGGAAGAGATTTGGTATAAACAGTTCCAGTATTGCAGTTTCATGTTACGTTATATCCCACGCCTCTTTCTCCACTCCGGGCCTAAAATTTTTCATGGGTTCTATTGTGACCTACCAGCTGAAAACATGCGCTTTTAGTTTTAGCATTTGGTTACAAATTGTGAAAATTTTATACTAAACCCTACCACACATGTCTAATATGACCTGCACGGAGGGGTATCAAATGTTTGATGCAAAATGTTTCTATTTAGGTTGCCGTTAAGACTGCTTATTCTACTGTTATGGGTAACTGACTTCAGTCTCTTGTCTTTCTGCCTACTCACCAAATCTGTTGCTTGGGTATGCTTCTAAGGAAGCGTACAATATTGTGTCGTGGTCGTATGAAGACGATCTGACAGAATAAATATTCATGGAGAAGTTGACTGGGTTGCCGTCATAAGATCCAAAAAAGAAGAACAATCACGGCAGGCCTCCAAAGACCTGTCTGTTTTATGAGCTGCTTCAACGATTTTCACGGCTACAAAGGACAGCCAGAATGACGTGTGGTTTACTTAGTTTGAAAGCTGGTTCTTCACTGGTGAGACATCTCGACCAGGTTCTGGTGACTTGTTCCGATCCGACCATTTAACTTCACCTTGGCCACATCGTTCCTTTCTTCCTCTTAATGCTGTTTTCATATTATGATAATCTGAACTTCCGAAGAGTACAGCCTGGTTACCAGTTAGAACCTCGAGATCGGTCTAAACGTTCTCAAACTACATGTTCTGATGTTCAGGCGTAGCATACTGACAGTGTCAAATCAAACTCATCCAACAAGCAGCTACGCTCTAAGTGTCACTACCAAAAATATTAACATTGCGATTTTTCAACGTATATAACTAACATTTTCGCAATACCCGTTCATTCTCATTCAACCGCAAACCACTCTTCACCAGAAAAGGAATCATCTTGTTGAAAGCACTTGAAAATATTTTTCAAGTCTATTTTCAGTCTATTCCGATCCTACTTGGTTATCAGAGGGCTGAAAATATTCATTCGAGAGAGCATTACTACCACAATGTGAACATATTTTGAGGCTCGATTTCTATAGCCAGAGTCATCGTTAAGCGATTTATTCTTGCTCAACTGTATACAAAATATCCCTCATGCCGTTGTTTCCGAGGAGATATCCAAAATTGTTGCCAAATGTGTCATGGCGGGAGGTCCCAAACTGCAGCACATGGGAAGTTTAAAGTCGCAACGGAAGCAACTGACCATAACTACGGCAACAGTGCTGATATTGAGAGAGGAAGCGCGTTTTTCCAGTTTACTTGAGTGCTTCGAATACCCATGGCCGTTAGTCTATCGTGAAGGAAAATGCTAAAAACGGCAGCCGCAGCAAGCGGACCTCGAAAACATTTTTGCTGGATATTGGAGCAGCACAGATATCAACAGCTTATGTCACCATTCTAATTTCATCCATCTGTCGTGGAAGCTGAATCCATCTACGAAATAGTTATCTTGTTCACAGAGATGTTCGGCTAATGTGCACATCAATTTATCTCAATTTTATCACCTTACTCAGAGCAACCTGTAAAGATTTTTCCCACTCCTTCCACTCTCTTCTTATTACAGTATTCTATTCAGTGGAGTATCCCGGTAAGTGCACTGTAAAACCTCCACCTGTTCTCACTTCTGTTTGTGGGAATTAGCATTTTTTTTTCGAGAGATGAATTCTATTTGCCATCCAGGTAGTGCTTCTTTTCATTATTTAGGGGGTTCCGGTGGGCGCCCTCTGTGTGCAGAGATCTACAGATTAGAATTAGCTAGACTGATCTGGATTTCACGATCGTGCACTCACACCTTCAGCTATGAAGTATTGATTCAACAAGACAGGGGATGCTTTAGTAAGACAACACAAACGTGTGTTTATTTCAGCTGCAGAGGAGTTTTCTTTGTGTTTTGGTTGCAATATGACATGAGATAAGCATCTTAGATAGATTGGAAGGTGTTTACTGTAGGAAAAGCTGAGCAGATGGAGAATCTGGATCATCCATACCCCCACATTTTCTGAGCCCGCAATACTGGCCTGAAGGGATACCAAATTGGGAGTGTAACCGCAAGCTGCGGCCGTTGTTCGTCCCCTCAGTAGATTTTACACAGTAAATATCTTATTTTGTGGTAACTGGGCTATATGTGCGCAGCTTGTCAGACGCAAATTCAAGTTCAGCGCAATTGCAGAATGATCAGGGCTCAAGAATGGGAATGACTGTAATAAGCTTTGTCGATTGTCGGTAGTTTGAGGAGACTTAGGGATTCTAATGAACTTTTCATACTGCGGGTGAAGCCACTGTACGCTGAAAAGCGGGTAGGCACTTTCCGGCTGTTTCATCTTTACTTAGCACCAGCGCGTAGATTGGGAAAATCCGGGGGTTTGTCAACTTCCGACTTTCTGGCTAGTAGTAGTTTTGAACATGACGTTTCTGTCACGACTGGTCTTCGCTGAGGCAACGCTGAGGAGCCACCCGTCGCCGGTCGGTCAAGTGCCGCAACTACTGCCGCAGAGGTTGTGCGCTCGAAACCCACTAAAGTTTCATAAGGTGCGCACTGCCGTTTATTTCCAATGAGGGTGAAACAGCGTAAACTGACTTTTTTACAGGGCAAAGTTTCCAATAACTTACTTTCAGCTGCTTAAACTCCAAGTTGTTGCGATAAATTTCAGTGGCGCCTTCCGAATGGCTGTTAGCTTACGGTGTGCTCTCCAAGGACTGCCCAGAGTGCCAGAAATCCCATAAGATGCACGTCTTTTACCTTCGAAACTGTCAGCTGAGAAGCCAAACAGCATAGGATAGCGTGGCTTGAGCCATGTTGTTGAAAAATGGTGATGTTATATACAGGTTTGGGTGCTGATTAGTCATTCTTGTTCCCATGACACCGCATCTGAACGCTTGACCGGATGTTGGGGCTCCTAAACTCATCAAAGGTGTTCCTTGGGTGTTCAGGACAAAATATCTGTACCACAGGATTGTATCCGAGAAAGGTTTTCATTATCATCAACTTAACTACGGAAGATTTCCATACTGTAGCCAGTATGCTGAATCTAAGACAGTGAACATTTTGTTGATATTATTTTGGAACACCTTTCCCTGAGAATTCTGTTGAAAAGTAAACTACTCACTTCTTGTGAGCGATCGGAAATCAGTTAATTATTACAGTTTTTTCGAGAAAACTAAGGCAATACCACACACCTGAAGCTTTAATTTATGATGAAAGTCACCCAAGTTGATTGATGGGCACGAGATGGCTCAGTAATGGAATGACTTTGAATTGACCCAAGTGGAGTGAGAACAGGTGAAATCAATAGTTTCTATCCAAGCGAGTATAATAAACCATGCCATGCAGGTAGGGACACACAATGTATTGATTTGTTACAGATAGCAATGTTTGACTTGAAGTGAGGGTAGTTCACAGCGGGTCTACAGTTAGATTTCAGTTTCATGTGAATGGTTGCACAATCCGCTGTCCTTCGTTTAATTTGAAACGAGTTAACTAACCTTCCGCTGATGCACGGATGAACCCATGAAGAGGGAGTGTCGTGATCTTTATAGAATAGATCAACGAAATGGCACGTACCATGTTCAACCATTAAGCATTTTTTACTTTAATTATTCTGAAAGGTGGGAGCTGCTAGTTGTTAACGGCTATTATGACGTTTTTGCTTTAGTTTACCATTTGCATCGCTTCACAAATGTCGGCAGTAGCTGTCACCGTTTGAGATGATTTGATTGATTAACTAACGTGTTACTTTGTAATGGTATTCCAAAAAGGGCTTTAAGTTCATCTTTGGTTTTTCATATTTATCCAAACTAGGATTTATTCGAAGTTCATCAGTTCCCACCCACATGATGGGCACTTTGTTTTACGGCGAATATCCGTTAGCTGCATTTTTTGTTTCATATTTATTGATCTCTTCGTAGCTGCGGCGTTGCATCACTGGGGACCAAGATAGATGGCGTCTATAAAGTTAGGCACAGTTCTTAAAGGTATTGGGTCTGACAAGGTTACGTGTATGGTATTTTGACGTATACCACCCCCGGAACGGTGATGTATACGATTAAAGTAGTAGAAACAAATGATATGCAGGTAAGCAGAATGAATAACTGGTTAATGTAACGGATTACCTTTTATTCCGATGTTGAAAAGCTACTACTCAGGCCACATTTGTCCAGTACCATCCACCAAATACGATGGTATCATACGGCCCTGTTACAGCAGTAAGCAGGATACTTGTCGACAAATGCGTCTTTCTCAGCAACCCTGCATATTGACCATGGAAACACGTAAGCGGAAGACGAGTCTCGAATGTTTTCAGTGCCATTTCATGTAACACCAACTATAAGTGTGAAGGACAAAGTCAGTTGTTTAAAAACCAACTCATATAGTCGCCTAAAGACAAACTGGAATGAAGTCCATTGTCAAAGAAAACTTCAGGTATCCCTTCGAATACGCATGAGCACTCATCTGAGATTAGTTATATTCAAAGCGTATAAATGTAATGGATATATTGTAACTGGTGCGACAACTCATTCGATCAAAACGACTACATCTCAAGGATTCTATCTCATGGTTTTCAAATAGCGGATGCTTGTTCGTAATCAAGCCTGGTAAACCTATGATACGCTTTTGTTCAGCAGATAAGCTTACAGCACGATCCTCCTGGAATCGGACGATCTTAGTATGAGGAGTAATGAGATAGTGGTATTCAGTCTCTATCGATTCTGTGTCGATTCCTTAAATAGTGCATTCATCCAACATTCAGCCTGGTCAGCATGATTTAGCTTGTGCGTTCTGTTCGTATACTCAACAGTCCGTTGTGAGTAAAACTAAAAAGACAGCATCAAGACCCACTGAATCTGTTTTTTTTCGGAGTTGTTGCTTGCAGGTTTGTTCTTCTCTTCTTCCCAGGTAAAATTCTTTCGGCAAAGCGTGTGAAGCTTTCACTTGCTGCAAGCTGTGGAGGCCCCAGTCTACGTTCTGCTCCTCTGAGTGATCTTAAAGAGAGTGAAGGAGGTGTGTTTCCTTCCTCTGGCTCCAGTTCATCCGGTTACCATTATTACATTGCAATCTGTTACCCGGAAGTTGTGTCAAAACGAAGAACTTATTTATTTGAGTCTATTTTCCGGTAGAAGTGCAAAATGGCAGTGATGTTGGAAGGTTCCTTGGCACATTCGTTGCTGTAGTATCTTCGATATCACTAGGTGAACTTTTAGTCTCATACTCTTTTAAATCATAACAGGCTCTGAAAATTTATGCCATATTCCTGGCTGCCTCAGTTCAGATTATTCTGTCAGAAACCTGAATCCACTCTAGAGGATGATTTGGGAAAACAACCTTTTTATTTGAATTTTGTGATCATCCTTGAGTCAGAACAGTGGTCTAAACGACATCTTCTTAAGCTCTAGTTTGATACGTCGAGCCTCTATGGTAAAAAAAGTGGTTTCCGCATGAATGCATAATACAGACACAGACCAGAGTGCAGAACGCGGCTGTTCAAGGGCAGAGTGATGCTTCTGTGATTTATGTGGATTGCATCGTCACATGGATTGAACCAGCACGCGGGGAGTTGTCCGGTCATTGTGAACTACGTCTGCAGCTGCCTTGATCTGAAATGTCAAGACCATTGACGTGATTATTACTGGGGTTCCTCGACACTCTCACCAAATACACCACATTCGGGTATTCGTGGGATCAGTTTACCACTGCAAACTTGTTGTTGGACAACACGGTCTTTATTTGCCGTGGAAGAAAAAGAACAGGACAACTTTTCTACATTGTTTTGGTTTCCAGAGTGGTAATTTTGAGACTACACGGGGTTCGACCAATTAGAAAAAGTCCTTTTGCTAATTATGTCTGAATTTCCCCTCAATTTTACCATGCCTTTACTGAATGTAGCACAATCTGTAATTTTTAGGGTAACTCAGGTCCTGAGCTGACTTAATCTACTGAGTTCAGTTTTGTCATACTGCGCATCAAGTGACTTCCGGTAGCTCTTCCCCAGAGAGAGTGCACGCAATTTTCTTGGGCGAACGATTGTTGTATGATGGTTTCTCTCTTAATTCCAGAGTTATTTCTATAAGTTTCCGACACCGTCATTTTGCACCCCAACGTACAACATGTGTACAACCTCTGTGAATAAACAAAGCGCCTTTACTGAGGTAATCAGCGGACGTGATCCGCGGTTACATATCAGACGACCAAGGTATACGTCAATAAAACTTATCCCCTTTTATGGTTTGTCCAGGGTCGACACATGTGCCTCACCAATAAAAATAGCACTCAGTCAAGTGTTATAATTCATTGTTTCCAAATGCGTCAAGTAATGAGGAGCTACACTGTGATGTACTAGTAACAAAAGGGACACACAATAAGTATTCTTCACAGTCATTTTTCCTCTCACCAACAACAAACAGCACAGTATTCTGCGGCAAGCCAATGTCAAGCTTTCTGCCTCTTCGTTTCGTGTGAAAAAGAGTTTGCACGCTTCATTCTTATGGAGTACCATCACCTGAAGTCTCTGCATAAGAGGAAGGAATTGTGCCGAACTCAACCGCCGGAAACCGATCTCTTGTTGGTAGACTGACATCATGGGAGCAAAATGTATCCTTCCAGGTGGTCAGCTGAGCAGCAGAGAAGTTTAGGCTTATCATAAATCAAGGACGTCATCGCGACACAAGAGAAAACGTTATGCGTTTGGTAAAGTGCAGTCCAGGAAAAAAAGTGACTTCAGTGGTTCGACCCGAATATCTCGATGAGTTTGCGGAGTTAGATGCATATATTCGGGACGAAAGCATCTAATTAACACTTTAGGTGCTTACATTGATTTCACTCCCATTCAATGGTGGTCGACAAAAACGTAGATCGTGCTGCGCTGTCTACGTTTTGAAATTTTTACTGCTGGACCAGTCAGTATTGCACTCATGCACTGGCCAGTTCTAGAGAATGACTGCTTTTCTAAGTGAAGAATACGTACTCATATACACAAGCGATATATACTGATGGTTTTGTTTTGTTTTTAACACAACGGATAACCAAAGTTTCTTTGGGATAGCTAGTAATTGTTGTCCTTTTCCTAAAAGTAGCCGTGTGCGCTGTTCTGTTCCAACATCATTCAGCACAAGCGATGATGGAACTAATGTGCAAAGGATTCCTTCATTGAAAGCCGAGTCAGTATATAGCGTGGTTGACGGGGTTTCCCCAAAGGCTTTCTGTACTGCACTAAAAGCATACTTTTGGAAGCAATAGATCGTACGGTACTCGGTTCCCAGAGGTATCAGATGTTCTCTCATGTGTTACGGGATTGGGGAGAAAAACAACCTCTCTGAGCCAACAAGAGATATCATCCGGATTCCATGTTTTTGGCTATTAGTTTAGGATTCATTGAAAACTATTCACCAGTGCCTTTCTGAAAACATACCTAATTCTAACCTTCGTATGCTGGCCAACCTCGTAGGTAGTAAGTTTAGCTACTTTAGTTAAAAAGTATTCATTGTTCATGTTTTTGTGGTCACGGACTGGTCAATGGATGCTGTTGTGCATGTCTGTTACTTGAGGTCCCTTCATCCTCAGTTAAGTGTTCCATTTTTCCTAGAAAAAACACCGTGGATGCTTTTAACCCACGCAACAACTTAACCTTAAACGACCCGCCCTTGCATCACAACATTCAGCTACATGCCCTGTATAGTGGCCTTATTATATTCCAGCTGATGTGATAGTCAAGATGAAAAAGTTTTTTCTCTTGGAAAACAATACGTACAAGTATGCTTCAAATGTTCCCCTGCTGACCTTCATCAACCATACAGGCGGCGAATTATCAAGCAATAAACACCTATATCCTGGAAATCTTTTACGCCAAAACACAAGAAAGCGTTTGTTGATGACTTCTATTTAAAGAACACTGTAAATTAAAATTCAATCATGATTTATTCGGAAATTAGTGCTACTATAATTTGCATTGCAGTCTACTTTGCTTAACCACGTGATTTAGTTCAACTTAGGAACAATTTGACAACTTTGTAGATTGTGGTAGATGCGGAAAAACACTAATTAGTTGTAGAGTTTGGTCATCATACACCGCATCCACGGAGAAAGCGGGAGATAATATCAGGTAATTTGACCGTTATTCGATCTCCGTAGGATAAAACTCAGAAACAATTCAGTTCAAAAGAGTTTGTCAGTAGCACAGCCAGTATATGGAATAAGCGGCGATTTGAACGTTGTTGCTTTCGAGATTAGGTGGGAGAAACACAGACGAAATACATACGTTCAGCGGACGAATAGTGGCAGCTTTCTTGTCTCTTCCCACTCCAATATAAAACAACTCCCTGGCAATAAAACAAAATGTCCTCACTTCGCACTATGTTCAATTGACATTTACTTGTAAACCGATGGCAGCGATAATCTGGAGTAAGAAAGTACGAGTGTTTGCTCTGAAAACAATATCCAGTAGGAAAACCGAAAATAATGAAGGATCATCACTACTGACTGTTTTTCCAATGCAATATGCCGACGTTCAACTTCATTCCCTGAGAGAGCAGTACATTTTTCGAGTGACTGTGTAATAACACAGTGGGGGTAATTTGTGCTGCAACTTTGTTCTGTAAGCCATTAAGTTTTACTCACACGAATCTTGACTAACCTTGACAAACTACTGCCAAGTAGTGTGATCTTGAAAAAGAGTTAGGAAACAACTGACTCGTCCTTTATAAATTTCAACAGTTTTTGTTCGCTTCTCACTATAAGTTCACATTGTCCTGACACTCACTCAGTATCCGCTTGATAATGGAGTGAAATTACTATCATGTTGTACGCTATTTGATTCAGTTATATATAGACTCAGAAGAGTGATGACCGCTGTCATTTTGTCTGACTGTTAAGGTAATCTTCGTACAGAGGTTCAGTTGCTCCATATTTGGGGACAAGGCTCAACAATTTGTGATTATGTGGCAGTCTGATTTATCCGTAAGAACCTTTGGATCACAAATATGAGAAGGCTGAATGTGTTGAACTTTACGCCAATCTTGGCAATCTCCGACTGCTTCTCTAAATAATCGAATTTGCCAAGTATTTTGTCGATTGGAGTGGAGCAAAGCCAAGTACTACCTAGTACACGTTCAGGTGCATTTCGGACGAATAGGATTACGGAGAATAAGGGGACGGAAACAAAGCAGGCTACAAGCGCAACCAGTTCGTTTGGTTGGAACTCAGAACCTCACCCAAAACGTGTCACGGACTTTTACCTAGTGAAAAAAACGTTTAGAAATACCTCTGTAGAAGCGGAATTAATCGTGAAGATTGACCTCGTATGAAGTAGTCTTGAAAATCAGGAGGCGAGGAGACGTGTTTACTCGGAAAATCAATGTGGAGGATCATAGCACAAACTTGATGGTTGCACTATTTTCCATCCAATCGGATCAAGAAGCATGTTACCAAAGATGAAATGTGGAAGTGGTCCTTCATAGGAAGTCCAGATATTGCAAGCAAGAGTAATAGGTACCAGCAGAGGATTATGCAGAAGGTTTCAGTCCTCAAGATGAACCTGTTGAGTGTATATGACATTCTACGTTTGAGCACAAAATACAGATTTTCGGACTTTGTTTAAGATGGGCTAAACATGAGGGATCATTTGAGTTTAGCTGAAAAGGTTTGCAAATGTCGCTTTACTATCTACCAAGTTGAAAAGAAAACTCCAGTGATGATGAGGTTTCAGTCTCAAGATGAACCTGTTGAGTGTATATGACATTCTACGTTTGAGCACAAAATACAGATTTTCGGACTTTGTTTAAGATGGGCTAAACATGAGGGATCATTTGAGTTTAGCTGAAAAGGTTTGCAAATGTCGCTTTACTATCTACCAAGTTGAAAAGAAAACTCCAGTGATGATGAGGAAGAAATCCTACTGAGCACCTGTCGACTTCTTTAACTGAAAAATTCTAGGCCGTTGAGGAACGTTGAGGCTTCTTGATACTCGCTCATGGATCCATTGAGCCTTGTCTGTAAATCAACGTAAACTT